GTTTCAGTGACAAGTTTCGGTACGATTGTCACTTAACTTCTACCTTTGGTTGCACCTCACACATGTGTTTGTGGTAACCTCCAGTCCATGTGCAGTCTGCACACTTCGCAATAAAATGTTTACATTTCTCTGCGTGCGTGCCATTCCAGCGTCCATTCAGCTCATGTTGGGTCATGTGCCAGCTGCAATCGGCCTCAGCACAGTCCTTGGTCTCCTTGTATTTTGGCTTAGGAGGTTCGCAGCCTAAATAGATTTGTTGCCCAAGGTCCCGCACGTATTGGCATTGTTCTTGTGACCATCAGTACCTTGTACATGCTTGTTCTTCTGGCCACCTCTGCCTCCACCTTTGTTCACTTTATTATTCCTCGTTCCCGTATGAGAGTCTCGACCATTACCTGGTACATTCGTGTTGGGTACAACCTTCTTACTCGGCTGTATGAATTTCACCACAGAACTCGGGCGTTTCGAAACCGTCTGGTCTGGTCTCGAATAAAACTCAGTCCATGTTAGGTCGGCGAGTTTCATGATACCATAGGTTGGCCCTTCAATTGAAATCTCACGTACCTTGTCTGGATAAGATTGATGCATGTCTGCGTACAACACCTCTTGGTCTTTTCGGTGAAGAGCCGACCAACAGAATGTTTGTACCCATAACACGCATATGCTCAACTTGTCGGATGACAATTCTTGTGTCTGAGCACGTGATATATGGGTGTCCAGGTCCAAGAGGCAATGAGACAATGGGATCCCTTCGTCCGTTGGTACCATAATGGATACCAACAGTTCCGGTCGGGGGTCGGTTGAGAAAAGACAGACTACCATCTCTCTCTGCTCTTTCCATGTTTTCAGCTTTGTTACAGCACCCTTCGCCTTGTCCGACTTATTAATACCTATAAGAAAATGGCTTAAATCTCTGTTGCGCAGCCTCGAACAAGAGGTTCTTACGTAAATTCGCAGTAAGCATAATTTGACCAAATTCCTTCAACGATCTCGACAATAACGCTAAGTTACTCGTATCGATAGGGTCCCTTCAGTCTTTTCAATCTGGACGATACGTAGTGTGTAACTTATCTATGTCCTTGACAAAATCCTTACTGTCCACAGATTTCTCAGCGTGTATGATGTGTAGCTCCGTATCGATCTTGGATTGAAAGTGCCTTACCATTGTCGCAAACTGTCTTGCTCAATCTTCCCCTGATCCTTTGCTAGCGTCGCTTCTTCTTCTGCATTAAGCATCCGAGCTGTGAAATCAGTTCCTGTCACTCTCTGAAATCTCGCCAATCGGTGCGTCCGTCTCCTTCATGCCATGTAGTCACTGGTCATCTTCGTCGTCATCGTCGTCCTTTGGATCCTTACTTCGCATAGCCATCGCCGTCGTAGTCTTGGACATTTTTAAACGTTTGGCGGACGGCGGCTGATAATCGGGTCCCGAAGATTCTGGTTCCTCGAACTCTGGCGATGATTGACTCTCGTCCCAACTAGAGCTTTCGACTTCGCTTCCACCTTAAAGTTCCTAAAACTTAACACTACACTAAGCGCCACTCGGGTTTGACGACATTGTTAAGTGACCGTACTACTGTATTTAATAATTTTCTTTTTGCTTACCATA